GTTCCAGAGCTAAGGGGAATGCCCTTTATGAGGAAAGATTAAGGGAAATGGGCCTGACCACACTGGGGACAAGAGGGTCAGGGAGACATGATAACGACATATAAAATACTGCGTGGAATAGACAAGGTGGACAAAGACAGGATGTTTCCAGGGAGGGGACACAGAAACAAGAGGCCACAAATTTGGGAAATTGAGACCCCAAATGAGTCAGAGAGATAGTAGGAAGTATTTCCTCAGTCATAGAGTTGTAAGGCAGTGGAATAGCCTAGAAAATGACGTAGTGGAGGCAGGAACCATACACAGTTTTAAGACGAGGTTTGATAAAGCTCATGGAGCGGGGAGAGAGAGGGCCTAGTAGCAACCGGTGAAGAGGCGGGGCCAGGAGCTAGGACTCGACCCCTGCAACCACAAATAGGTGAGTACAAATAGGTGAGTACACACCACACACACACACACACACACACACACACACACACACACACACACACACACAGCTCCTCTCTTATTATAACTGAGATCAACCTCTCCATTTTTCCTTTTGCAGGAGGCTCGACACATCTTGGCTGCCATCACCCAGCACATCACCTACAACGAGTTCCTACCCATGGTGCTGGGCAAGGAAGTGATGAGCAAGTACGGTATCATCCTAGAGAAGCAAGTGAGTTTCAAGCCTCTTTAATAGCAACATTACTACGCTTAGTACTGCTGCTGGAAGCGGCAGGGCAGCTGCTGTCCCTGCTGCCAACATATCTCGTAACGTACCACATCAAATAATGCAGCAGCAGTAACATAATTCTCGACATTCCTGAAATTTCACTGATATATACAATGTCCTAAAAAATTTTTCCTTGTCCTCTTTCTTTTTTCCTCTCGTAGAATTATATGTCAATGTATTTTTCTTCGATCCATTGTCTCATTCTTTCTCCTCTTCGTAGGGTTATTTCAATGGTTATGACCCCACGATCAACCCGTCCGTATCGTCTAACTTCGCCACCGCTGCCTTCAGGTTCGGCCACTCCCTTCTTCCCTCCACCATCGAGCGCTGGAGTCCGTCCCACAAGTATATCGGTAAGGGGCCCAGTTCATGTTATTGCCTCAAATACCCTCCCGGCAGGTATCTCTCTCGGAGTATCTTGATTTCTTTAGATTGCCTCGCATAAGTCTACAGATTCCTATGTAACTCCCATTACATCTCCAGGTTCACAGCGTTTGAGCGAGATGTTGCGGCAGCCGTACGACCTGTACAAGGGAGGCTGGTGCGACCAGTTCATCATGGGTCTCGTCAACCAGGTAGCTCAAGCCATGGACGACTCTGTAACCCAGGAAGTGAGTGATCCGGGCATTTTCTCGTGTCTAAAAAGTGATATTTGGCATTTTTACATATATAATAATATGACTTCATAGTGTAACCTTACTCAGTTTAGTGAAGAACAGTAACTTTAACTTTTGACTTGATTAAATGATTTACCCAGTCGGTCTTGACTTACTCAGTCTTCGTTAGTCAAGTTTCCTTTGATGGTTTGATCGAACATCATTATTCCCTTTATAACTTTATCTCCCTTAGAAAATGCTGGATCTCCTTTCCCCTCTCCCTGAGGTAACCTTACTGATTTGCAAACTGTTGTCCCTTACACTGTGCCATACCTTGCCTATTCTTCCTTAATGCCTATCTTCTTCTTCCTCTGAGTAATCCGCTCCTTTATCTTCCTTCCAGGTAACCAACCATCTATTCCAAGATCCTAACAAGCGGTGGGGTATGGACCTGGCGGCCATTAACATGCAGAGAGCAAGAGAGCACGGGGTTCCCTCCTACAACGCGTTCAGGGAGTTCTGTGGCCTGCCCAGAGCCTACAGGTTTGAGGACCTCCTGGGATCTATGAGCAATAAGACTGTCAGGAGATACAGCGAAGTCTACAGGTGGGTAGGTGACCTCTCGCAGGCGATGTTGGCAAGTAGTCAACATCCTGCATCCTTTTCGCTATCAATCCTCTCGCTTCTTAATGCATCCATCATTATTCCTACCCACTCACCCTTTCACTTCATCATCCATTCACAGATTCACCCCTTTCACACTTTACCTTATTTCCGTGCACTCACCTTCCACTCTTGCACGTCCTTCAGGCATCCGGATGACATTGACTTGTGGAGTGGAGGGGTGAGTGAACGCCCACAGGCAGGATCCATGATAGGACCCACTTTCAGCTGCCTCATTGGACTCACTTTCAAGGAACTCAGATTTGGTGACCGCTTCTGGTACGAGAACAGGGGCTTCCCCTCCTCCTTCACGATAGGTAAGTACCTGCACAACTTTGATGAATTCAGGTGAACAAAAGCATTTACCAGGTGAACGTAGATATACTCACGAGTGAGTCAGGTGAAGAGGGATGAGTGAAATCCTGCGTCAGGTTTTAATATGGGTGAATACTGTCAAGAAATGTATATTTTAGCCAAAATTAATTCATCAGCTTCATCGTTGCAGTGGACATGAATGAAGATCACTCTCTCCTGAATATAGAACCTGTTGGCGATAGTAGGAAAGAAGAGACAGGGGCATAGCAACCTTTACCTGGAATAAAGATTCACACAGAGTAGAATGGCAACAGCTCTACACAGAGCAAATAGTTATCACACAGAAATACTTCCTCTCTATCCGAGATTTTTCTACAGTCGCTCCCTTACTAATGTGAGTCAATAACTCACCTTTGTTGAAGTTATGTGAGGAACTCTGTCTACCACTTCAATCCTAGACTGACGCAGGATAGGGAAGCCAACATTCTTATTATATACAATCCACCATAAGCCACACAATACAGCTCTCTCTCACAAGCACACACACACGCACACACAATAACAAGAAATAACACATACCTAGAGAGTATTCCGGGAGTCAACGTTCCCGCAGCCCGGTCCATGACCAGGCCTCGCGATGGATCAGGGCCTGATCAACCAGGCTGTTACTGCTGGCTGCACGCAAACCAACATACGAACTACATCCCGGCTGGTCAGATCCAAACTTAAGATGACCATCCAGCGCCTTCTAGACAGCCAGGGGTCTAGTGGTAATCCCCTTATATATGCTGGGAGGCAGTTGAACAGTCTTGGGCCCCTGACACTTATTGTACTGTCTCTCAGCGTACTCATGGCACCTCTGCTTTTCACTGGGGGATGTTGCACCGCCTGCAGAATCTTTTGCTTTTGTACGGAGTGTATGAAAGTTCTTACACAAATTCGCTTACTAATAGTATATATTAAAAATCAATTAAGTATATTCAGCTATACACAATTACATAGATTATCATACATAGTAGCATATGTGTAGGAATTATAAATTATGGAGAAAGACTTCAGTAATTTCTGTATTTAGTAAAAAATTTGAAGATAAGCGTATTCTCCTTCCTTCCTTCTCTCTCTCCCTCTCTCTGTCTGTCTGTCTGTCTGTCTCTCTCTCTCTCTCTCTCTCTCTCTCTCTCTCTCTCTCTCTCTCTCTCTCTCTCTCTCTCTCTCTCTCTCTCTCTCTCTCTCTCTCTCTCTCTCCCTCCCTCCCTCCCCTGTATAATTCTGTATTTCAGCGAGAATCAATAAAAAGCTCTCAAAAATAATCTCTATGATTTTTTCTTCCATAATTTTCGACTACTAATCACGTTCTCTCCTTCATCACGATTAAACACCACAGAACAACTAGAAGAGATTAGGAAGGTGAAGCTCTCACGGATAATCTGTGACAACAGTGACGACATTAAGGATGTGCAAGTGTACGCCATGGTTCTGCCTGACCACGACATGTGAGTTATCCCTCTTGCTTTAACGTTTTCTATATATACGTATTGCTTCTCGAAAGAAAACCTACCGTAAGGGGAAAGTATTATATATCTGAAGTTCTATGATTACAACGGTTTATTAAGCTGGAGGGATTCAAATTCAAATTCAAATTCAAAGTTTATTCTCTATAAGGATTACAATGCTGAGTTTACAGAAATTTGGTTATTGTGTGGTTTACATGTAGTAAAATTGTGATTACAGAGTGTACCACTAGAACGCTTAGCATGGCTAGGCATTTCGGGCAGAGTTAGTTTATTTCTTAATTTTAAAATATTACAAATTATGAGGTAAGTTGGTATTATGGCTAAGTGACTAAATACTAGTTTGTGAGTTTAGCAATGTGAATGCTTTTGTTTTGGCACAATACATAGTTTCAGTATTGGAGTATCACAGGATTCATTATTTTAAGATTGAGATTAATATTTCTGTTTATGGTCAAATGAGTGAGTGAGTGTAAGTGTTAACCACCAGGTGGTATTCGTGTAGTTAATTGACAGGGTGTATCAGGGAGATAAGATGTTTTCTAATGGTAGTTTTGAAGGTGATGAATGTGTCTGCAGTTCTAGAGTTTTCAGGTAGGGTATTCCAGATTTTAGGGCCTTTGACATACATTGAATTTTTGTAAAGGTTTAGTCGGACACGGGGAATGTCGTAGAGATGTTTGTGTCTGGTGTTATGCCTGTGGGTTCTGTCACAACTATCAAGAAAGCGTTTTAGGTCAAGGTTGATATTAGAGTTTAAGGCCCTGTAGATGTAGATTGCATAGTAGTAAGTGTGGATGTACTGAACTGGGAGTAAGTTTAGGTCTATGAAGAGTGGGGGGGGGTGGTTTGCCAGGGATGGGATTTAGTGATTATTCTTACTGCAGCTTTTTGTTGGGTTATTATTGGCTTTAGGTGTGTTGCTGCAGTTGATCCCCAAGCACAAATAGCATAGGTGAGGTATGGATAAATAAGTGAGTGGTATAGTGTGAGAAGGGCATTTTGCGGCACGTAGTATCGTATCTTGGAGAGGATCCCAACCGTTTTGGATACTTTTTTGGTTATATGCTGGATATGGGTGCTGAAATTCAGGTTGTTGTCAAGGTATAAGCCTAGGAATTTTCCCCCATTATTTCTGGTAATTAGAGTAGAGGATTGTCACCCAGGATAATGCAGGAAGGTCGGTGCGTCAACGGGAACTGTCTTATTTCCTTTAATCCTCTTCTCCAGGATGCGACCCATAACAGTCGACTGATACCCAGGTACCTACTTATTGCTGGGTAAACAGGGGCAACAGGTATAAGGAAACATGCCCAACGTTTCACCCGTGACGGAGGAGCGATCCTTCCTTAAAGCTAAACTATAATATCATGAGTTGGATAACTATTTTATAACAGAAAACTTAAAAAAATATGATATATTATATTGGATAACTTCTCACGTAAGAAAACATTAGTGATGACACAAGATATGATAACATGAACTGGATAAACTATAATAAATCATTTATTTGTGTAGGTCTTCATATTAAATACATTCCTCAGTGTTGGTTACAAAATCACTGAAGTAAAATTTATGCTGTGGAAGAATGTGGGTTCCTTAGCCCGAAGGACCCGGGTTCGATCCAGGCCCGAAGGACCCGGGTTCGATCTAGGCCCGAAGGACCCGGGTTCGATCCAGGCCCGAAGGACCCGGGTTCGATCCAGGCACATGTTTCCTCATACTTGTTGCCCGTGTTATAAGTAAGTATATTCAGGTATACATAAATACAATTACATAGATTATCATACATAGCAGCATATGTGTAGAGAACCTAAGATAACTCAAAAAAGTCAGAGTGATTTATTTCCATTGTATCTCTAGTGTACGTAGATGTTAAAAATATTAGAAGCAATACTTAGAAACTTAATTCAAAAAACGCTTTAACTGTATATTATTATTATTATTACAATCAAGGGGGAAGCGCTAAACCCGGAGGATTATACAGCGCCTGGGGGGGGGGGATGTGGAAGGCATTCAGGCTTAATTTGGGGAACTGGAGCACAGATCCAATTCCCTAAATCAAGAGCCCCTCACCAACATCAAGGAACCTTCCTTGAGGGGTTTAACTGTATAATAGTTATATTTTCAAGTCAATAGCTCATATCTGGTGGTAGGACAACATACCTGGAGGAAAGAGGGACATACATAGATATATGGGAATTTAAGAAAAGAGAAGGACTTCATCAGTGATTAGCTGAGTATCACTAGTATTGTTATAGTTGGTAAGTTATTCAACTATAGGTATACATAAATACAGTTACATAAATTATCATACATAGCAGCATATGTGTAGTAATATTGCTGGTAGAAGTAATAGGTGACTGAGTGGTGGGTAGTTCTTAGCGGAATATATGATTTAATATCAAAGTACCACGTGTGAATTATTATTATGCGAGTAAATTACATGCATGAGGTTTACAAGGGTATTACCTGAATTATTACAGGCAAGTAATTTGGGTGAGATAAATGGGACTTAGTTACAGTTGGTCGCAGGACTGTCACTCCCTCGATGCACTTCTTCACCACTCTCACAAACACCTAGATCTGACATTAAATTAATAATTACAATATTAAACATTAATACCAATAATGGTAAATTATAAAATGATGTGGACTAAATATGATTAGGCTTGCTGGGTACACAAACGAAATTCGTATTATCACTTACCATTGACTTACTGGATCATAATTATTTTATGGAAACACACCCTAACACTACCTCTACAGCTAGGATTTACGATGACCAACGCAAAAACTACTACACATTATGGGTAGGCATCACTGAGCTAAATGAAAAATATTAAAGGAAATGCTATAAAACTGCAACTTATTGGTATTCCCATACCAATCACTATTACAGGTACCTGTATATTACCCATCTATTGAGAGTCGCATCCTAAGTGAAGGTTGTTGGGATCCCAAAGGAAATAGACAGTGGTAGCGAGGCAGAATAACACGCCTGCAATCAGTTTAGACATTTTAATAGGAAAAATTTCAGTGTTTGGAACGATTACCTCAATGAAAAGCGCTCATGATATAGCAGAAATAACAGGTGAGGTAAGGAGAAGTCACTGTCAGGTGAGGTACATGCAGGATACGTCATCTTGGAAGTAACGTCACCTTTGTGTTATGGTGTATCCGTGTCAAGTGTCAAGTGGGCAGCGGTACAGGAAATATTATAACTGAAGAGTTTTCTGTTCAGTGATGTTAGAAATAGCAATGAGAAAGGTTTCCAAGCATCGGTTCCTACATATTTCAGATTAAAAATAAACTGGCCAGGTATCATTCCAGTTCATAAGATGGCCCCTACTGTCCCTGTTAACTACGTACACATAGCTCTGGTCATTCCTCCTGAATGTATATTTGTGTTCACCAAGTCTAATCAATAAGTTCTCCCTAGTTCCTCTCATACATGTTTTATCACAAAGCCCACACGGAATTGTGTAGACACCAACCTCACAGACCGGTCGATAGATTGAAGGAGGTGCCTTAGATGTTTGAAATAGTCACTATAATAAACACGTTCATATGAGAGCCTGTTTAGCGTTAATGGCTACATTACCACACTGGAGAATAAAGAATTTCTTCATGGTCCTGTTTTTTTGGAGTGGTTTACATGGCGGAGCAACATAAGTGTAGCTATTGAAGCCACTACTTAAAAAAAATTCCTTCCATCTAGTCACCGGTTTGTTTGGCTAGTGTTTACTCCATCTCATCTGTCCATTGTGCTGACGTATACGTGGGGGGAAAGTTATCAACCAGACTTAATGAACACAAATATGCACGTAGTGGGGCTGAGCAGAGCACTGGATGTATGGTTCACGGAGACAATTAGAGCCGCCACATGAATTAGAAAGACTCCCAACTAGTCTTTTCTGAACATAAAATAAGCAGGTCCCGATGCTTGGAAGCCTCCCATTGCTAATTACAACACTGTGGAACTGAAAACCGGCAGCTATGACACCTCTACCCTAGCCTATAAGATATTTGACCACACCTTTTAATGGACACATTGTATCACAACGATTTTGGGACCTCATTTCTAAGACGATCAAACATCACCAGTCTCCGGCTTATACCTAATCTGACACTGATTTTTTCCAACCTCACCTGTCACCTCTACTGTATATTATGCGCTTCACGTGCTCGTTGCATCGCTGGAGTGACCATCGTCCTACTACGGAAAAGTTCCCTGCTAAAATGTCTTAAGTGTTGACACACGTCTTTTCCCTCACCTTGTCGGTATTTTATACCAGTTTCTTAACATAATGGTCATCTTTGGTTATTTTGGGTTTATAATCCCATTAAAATTTTTTTTTAGCCTCAACATTGTTAGGTCTGTCCAATAATTGAATGGGTGACGATGTACTGACTATGATAAACTATGAAATTCCGGTTTGCATCATGGTTTACCACATTATTATTCAAAATTAATATACGTTTACATTTTCTATCATTGTCTTGACTATTTTGTTAAACACTTCAAGTGCATTTCAGTGGGTGGTGCTATATTAAAACTAACCCACTCTGGCGCTCACATACATTGCAGAAACCCACGCGTGCCTTGCAACTCCGGGATCCTGCCCAGGATGGACCTAAGCAAGTGGCGGGATTTACACTCCTCTAACCCCCGTGTACGTCCGGTCTTCTAGTTCCCCTTACCCTCTGCGTCGCCTCCCCTCGCTCTTCTCTTCTCCAACATCCTTCTCAGCTCCTGAACGTCGATGACTCTCTACTAAAATTAAAGTGGATGTTTCAACCACCTTCCTCCTTCTGCTACTACTACTACTACTACTACTGCTGCTGCTGCTGCTGCTGCTGGTGTCCTAGAGTGGGTGTTGTACTCCCACCTCCTTTCCTGTGAGGAGTAGGTCCTTCATGAGGGTTCTTTAACTCTACTTTCAAGCCCCCTCCCCCTGGAGAGATCCTTCTACATATGTTCATGCTGATATCAATTCTCGCCTCCCTACTGCAGTGCTTCCGTCTTCTGGAGAACTTTAAACATGTGTTTGTGTGTGTGTACTCACCTAAATATGGTTGTAGGGGTCGATTCACAGCTCCTGTGTGTGGGGGGGGGGAGGTGTGATTGCGTGTAGTAACACAAAATGTATGGAAACTTCACCTTGCCTCTCTGCAATGAAAAATTTCTTATAGAGAGTTTTCTTCAACATGAAGAACTCAGATTTACTATTTATTTGCTATAACAATTCCATTAACCATTCCAAATTTGATCCTTCTTTTTCCCCAACTTTCAAATAAACTTTCTGAAACCTGGATTCTCGATGTAGTTTTTTTTTTCAGTGATATTGTTAGATCAACGTACATACATTAATGAATTAAGAATTATCTTAATTGCTGTTAGGACCGTATATGGCATTGAAACATATTGCTAGAAGCTGCATGAGGGTTATTAATACTGCTGGCAATGTCCTCTCCCCCCCCCTGGACTAAAGTATGGGGATCCCTATTTGCCTTATAAACATTACTGATAACCCTGCAGTACGTTGCTCCTTCATGTGATCGTCTAAGTTGTAAGTTACTGTATTGACGAGGAAGCGCTGCCTATAAGGGTTCATACAAAGCCTGATTGGGTGTGGGGGGAGGGTAGGGAGGCAATAAGTTTAAATCCTAGGAATGAGAGAGTAGTTCTAATTCCTTGTATCAAGCGCTCTTCTGAATGTTATCCAGGTTTTCAACTTTCGATATATACACAATTTCAACTTTAAATCATATTTCGTGCGTGGATTATAACAAGTAAATTTATGTAAATATGCAGTTGAATTATATATTGACTTTCTACCAGAAGGTGCAAGTCTAATCTTAGTGACAGCGACGCCAGTAGCCAATAAGAGACAACAATATTTCAAATCACGTAATACTATAGTGTGTTGTCCGCCCCTTTCCTCTGAACTTTATTCCAGGGTGAGCTAGTGTATGGTAAACCTTGGTTCATCTCGTCTTTCAGATACACTCAGTTATGTTCACATACGGGAGGTCCTCTTCAGTAGGTGGCGAACTCAGTTAAAGGTTGAAATAGAGAGAGAGAGAGATATTATTACTCTTGTTTCTGTCCCCGTGTGGGTTTGGCCGCCTCATTGACAAGTGTTCATCACACTTCGTCGTTTCAACACGTTCATATTCGTTTATATACAGTACTTTCATATAGGTAATCGTATATATGCATTTATATTATGCAAGAATCGCGAACAAGCGATAAAAGATGGAAAACAACCACTGGAGGAGTTGAATGACCTATCATTCAGCTTTCCCCGTTGTTGTTTTACATGTGTTTAGATGTATTCACTAATTTACATACCGAAATATCTCACTAGCGTTCAGATAAGTGAGAGAAATACTTTAATACTTTCTCCTGTACACACTTGTACAGGTCCATAACCTGTCCCCTCCATAAAAGCGTATCTCTCGCTGTTAGTAACCTGTCTACACGTGTAAAGTTCTTGTTAGCTGTTCATAACATCTGACAAATACAGTTTTTGTTAACTGTTAGTAAATTCTTCTCAAATGTACAGTACTTGCTAACTGTTAGTAACCTTTCCACACATGTACAAATTCTTGCTGTTACTAACCTCTACTTACATGTACAGTTCTTTTTACTTATACTATCCTCTCTGCACATGTACTTTCGATTCTTATTCGCGCTATCTTCAGTGTACATACAACATTATGTCTGAATGGCGTTCAGCCCGTTGTCAGTCCCTCTGCCGGTCGTGTTCAACATCACCAACAATCTGACTGATCAGAGACCGAGCCCCTATTAGCGGACAGAGGATCGAGCCTTCACCTCTCCCCGTGCTGAATGACTCAGCCGGATAATAGTGACTCGCCAGCCTGGGGAGTCACCATTATCATCAAGGAGAGGATCATTTGTCATTTAAAACACCACAGTGAGAATTTATTTCGTCCAGTCTACTATTCATTGACCAACAAAAGCTGCTGGATCTACTTGTATGCAAAGTGGAAAGCATATCCATTGCTATATTAGTGATGTGAGAGTGCGCCTTAAGTACAGGTATAGTGTGAGTATATCAGAAGAATATGTGGGATATGTTTTATGTGTGAATGCTGAAATGCCGTTTTTCATTCATTTTTGGGGGACCGAGAATTCATCAAAATAGCCTTACTAATGTACCTGCCACTAGGACGTAATAATGCAAAAATTATGTAGTGGTAAACTGAATGTAAGATATACATAATGAAGTTAACAGTGTGATGTCATCTCAGTGTGAAGTGTCACAGCTGTGAGGATGACGAATACCGTGACTGGAGAGAAAACTCTCGGATGACTTTTCTGTCCGTCCTAAAGTAGTAAGTCACTATAGTTGTGACTTGACAAACTTTCCTGCCTGAAACGTGGACTATTTGTCATAGCTGTGAGGTTGTTAAGAAAGCCAAGTACATTCTTGCCCTCCACTGTATCATTACCCACTCTCAAGTGTGATGACAATGTCTCCCTGTACGTGTTTGTACAAATTTCAGTCTCTGTTTCCTGGTTAGGTCTCTGCTTAGGCGGAGTCAGGTGGCTGCTCCTTGTTCATAGTAACCTGTATATTATTAGCAATTCCTGTATTCGTGAAAGTTTAACTGTACTCTCTGTGCATGCAAATGTATACTGACATACTAATATACACTGCTATAATATACATATATAATATATATATATATATATATATATATATATATATATATATATATATATATATATATATATAATATCGTGACTGGAACAATACGCAAATAACCCTCTGGCCACAGTCTTTATTTAGTGACGTATGTAAATCCTTGTCTAGAGCACTTGACCATTATTGCTCGGTGTTAAACCATGTTTACACTCACGCAGCAACTTGTACAGGTGAGCAAGTGGTGTGATAAACCATAAAACGCAACTTTCTTCTGTTTTACGTCAAGTAGTTTTTAATACCAAACCTTGCCAATGTGACACAGTTACTGTGGTAACAAAGAGAAGTAAACCACGATAATTTTGATATATGACTGAGCCTGTGAGAAGGCTCTCTGACACCAGACCTTGCCAATCTACAAATAATTTGACACTAGCAGTTACTGTGGTAACAACATGACCTGATCAATGTTAATTTTGTTATTAAATTGTGCCTACTAACGGCTAATTTATGCCAGGATGACATAATCACCGGCAGTTTCATTACTAGTTCACTAATGTAACTGACAGTGGTATTATTTGACTTCTCAATGGTTTTCACGACCTCCCTTGGCTTTAGTTTATCTTCCATGGCTTTATTTGGCTTCCCTGTGACTTTATATCTCAGGGGCTTTATTTACCCTCCCAATCACTTTCTTTCACCTGTTAATAATTTTCTTGATCCTCCTTTCTTTAACCTCCTAGTGACTTTCACCTTTCATGTTAACGCGAATGGCAGCTACTTTGAAGACTTGTGAAAGTACTTACTTAACGACCCACACGTAAGAAACATATTTAGATCAGAGAACTCAAAAAGGTTTGGAAAAGCGACTTCATGATGTTCATACCACTGATGACTGTTGTCATTTTAAGAATGTGGTCAGATTTGTCAATACATATATATATATATATATATATATATATATATATATATATATATATATATATATATATATTGTTTATTCTTTATCCTCCTGCATTATATGGGATGTAAACAGAGTTTTTTGTACATAATTAAATATATAATATTTTGCATAGTACTTTCTTTTATTACCTCCTTCTCTTCCTGGCAGTCTTATTCTCACTGTACCATGGTTCAGTTGCTGCTGTACCTCTGCTCCATCCCTCTGCCCGAACACCATCGTTATAGCAGTCTAAGGGACCGTTGCTCTCTCTCTCTCTCTCTCTCTCTCTCTAAGCTTTTGTCTTTCTCTTATTTCTTCTCCGCCTTTCTCAGTCCCCCCTGTCTCCTGTATCTCTTACCCTCTCTATTTCTTTCATTTTCCCCTCTGTCCCTCTTTCCTATCAGCCAACCAACAATATCTAATCCTTTCCCCATTTATATTTCTTTATTAAACTCCCCACTCTCCCCTTTACCAATTAAATCCCCCCACCCTCTAACAGAAAGATCACGTCTTAAGTATTGCGTAGGTTCCAGGTCACCATGAAGGGAATTCATCACAATATGTTGACACTGGATGCTAGCAGATAATTACACTTTTCATCACAGGAATAAATAATATTCCTCTGGAAGACGATGAATACTGAGACTTGTTGGTGCTTAGGGATGAGAAATATTCCATGAGGATGCGAGATACTGGCCCTGAAGAACACATGTTTACCTTGTAAGACAATGGTGATCACGGGAGACGTTGATCATTAGTGAAAGACTGGACATGTTGATTTAAGAAAATATAAAAAAAAAACTTGCTCATGAAAATAAGAATTTTATGAGAGAAATATTGACTTTTTAAGTGAGAAATTATGAGCGAGTTTGGCTTCAGAAAGATGCCCTTTCCAGGCAGGAAATATTTTCCTAGAAAATGAGAATTGGGCATTAATGAAGAACTTTGATGAAGTTCTTGAGTTGGTTCCCAGATGGACTTGCCTAGAGTGGGCCAGGAGACCCGTCGTGGTTCTTTATTCTCTGATTAAACAAATTCAAGAGAGTCACCTCATCTAAGAACCTACAATGTGCTGTCTTTCATTCTTCTTTCTCACTCATATATATATATATATATATATATATATATATATATATATATATATATATATATATATATATATATATATATATATATATAATCGCTTAATTTGTAGAGATGCTGAAGAATGGGGAAAAGGGAGACAAGTAAAGGAAGTGAAAAGGGAGGAAGGGAACAGCGCAATATGGAACACATTTGTCAATATTTGCTACAAGTTACTGCGTTTTTCGTGGAGCCCAGCTGTTTGCCTCCTGCCCAGCTGTTTCCCTCCTGCCCAGCTGTTTCCCTCCTGCCCAGCTGTTTCCCACCTGCCCAGCTGACCCCCTCCTGCTGCAACTTTGACCTCTGCTGCTACATCTGTAACCTGTGTTTCTAGTAGATGGGTGTTCTTCTGTAAGCTTTCACCAGACTTATACCACAGCTGCTACATTCTTCCTGGACTATCTTTAAGTAATACATTTTTCACCTCCCATCTGATTATGCAAAATAAATATACGCATTCCTTTTATTTCACTTAATACAATTTCTTGTATTTCTTGTATTTTCTTGTTAATTAATTGAATATTTTCAGTTGAACGTAAGTATAAATGTAATGTGTACACCTGTTTCTCTTACTTTGTTAGAGGAAGTCGTCCTTGTAACGGACTAAGGGAATGACAGACGGGTAGAGGTGGCGAGTAATGGAAATTTTGGCTGATAGAGATGAGATAGTTTCTCCGTGGTCCTAGCAATAACGTTCTGTTACATAAGATAATAAGGAGAACTGTAGCAGGCCTACTGGCACGTGCTAGGCAGGTCCAAGTCACACCCGTAATTCCCATGTCCGTTAAATCGAGGTTTCCTTTGCTTGTGTCTTACGAAACTGCATCAGTGTACGGAATTTGGTACTTAAAAGACACACAGTGTAGAACAATCGTATATTTTACACGATGTTTCGCTCAGTTCTCATGAAAGGTAGTCTAAAATATTCTTGATGAAAATTAGACACATATGCAACATCTGGGTATCTTTAATGTAGACGTTTCGCCATCCAGTGACTTTATCAATGCAAATTCTAAGGCATAATTTGAAGACAGTAGAACTATATATAAAAGATGAGGTAATCAGTCCCTCAGCCTTGGTGTTGGTGCGAAGAGCACCGTAGTCGTGAAGAATCTGGAGCACAGACAAGAAGACTGGTGCTTATATACTGGCGTCAGGTGAAAAGGGGACGGGTAGCAGACGATGGCATTATCACTGGTAGGTGGGATTTTCCAGTGGAAGTAGATCATACCCAAGGGACGGGTTAGTAGAAGTGAAGAAGATTGTGAAGATTTCCTCAGAACCAAGATTCCATGATATTGCAGTGTCTGATAAGTTGTACATGAATAATATTGTATACCTTTCATGTATGAAATATTCTTGTTCTACATTATGTCTCTTTTATACACTCTCATGACCTCATTCAACAAACATAAACACCTCTCCAGTATCCATTTAAAAATCTCGCTATTAGGCTTATAAACTAATCAATACAGTAATTATGTTTGTGCTTGGACATTTTTTTAATTCAAATCAAATTTATCAAAATATTTGGAATATACTATGTATATAGATTTAAAAATGTGTATATACATAGACTAGGTCTTCTTCACCCCACTGAGCCACACAAACTCTTTCAGTAAACCTTCATTAGTGACATGACACTGATCTGATACCTGACATTATAATACAAAGTATACTATGGACGTTTATAGACACGAAGAAATACGCAGAGGGAGCAAGATATTTACTGGGATGAAGTTTCTCTTTGTATAGAGCTTTATCAAGACTCACGAAATCGTAATTATACGACTGCAAATAAACCACGGTATGGGTGGGGGTTAAAACCCATGGCAAGTGAGTCCTTAAACTCCAGGCCAGTGCGTAAACCACCAACCCGGAGTTCTACGACTCACTTGCTATGGGTTCTAATCGCACCCGTATCGTGGTTTGGCGAGCTCTGTCAAGTCATGAATTAGAGCTTTACACAGGGAGGCCTGGTCGTGGACCGGGGGCGTTGATCCCCGGAATACCCTCCAGGTAGACAGAGGTAAACAATGTCCCAGCAAAGCCTTGTCCTGCAACCTGTGTCACTGTCTTCACTATTGTGAGCAGTACGTAGTTCCTGTCCACTGGTGTAAGTAATGACACTTCCACAGCCATCACAGTGTAAAAGGTTTACTCCTACAGACTATAAATGACGCACTTCGTATGAATTTCTATGTTTTTTTCCATTGAATTTTTAATTCGCCTGTCTGACTTTATTGGACAAATGTCTCATGTTTTTGATTTGCTCTTTGACAGGACCCACAGAATGACTACTGGAAGTGACCAATTCTGAAGTTAGTTCCCCAGTTTTGAATGCACTGTCCTTTATTCAACTTAGGCTTGCAAAATAAAGTATGAACAGATGAACAACAGCTTTACTACCTGTCTACCTTCAGAGCCCTAGTTTTATATTTCTCTCACCCTAACTTTACTCTCCCACCTCACTCTCCTACCTCATCCCCCTACCTCATCCCCCTACCTCATCCCCCTACCTCATCCTCCTACCTCATCCTCCTACCTCACCATCCTACCTCACCCTCACACCTCACCCTCTTAATGGTGTCGAGTAGCTCACTGGTGAGAGCATCCGACTGACAGTCGCAGTCCCGGGTTTGATTCCCTAGCATGAACAAACATTTGGGTAAGATTACATATACTCCTGATGCCCCAGGACCTCGCCCTAGCAGTAAAAATAGGTTGTGTGCTAGCTAGGTAAAAAATATAGACAATTTCAGCCCCTGCTGGAAGTAAAGTGCTGGATGAAAGGTATCCGTGTACTTATATTAACTAAAAAAAAAACTCTGACATTCACCCTTAACAACCAGTCGTAACTCTCCCCCTCCCTCATTATGTCAGCAAAGAGCATACTCCTCACCTCGTAGTCATAAATGACTCCTTTTTCCCATTGTTTTAAATATTTCTCAGCTTTTTTTTTTTTTTTTTGAAAGAATATTATAGCCTTCCATTAGCCACTGACTCACTGTTAAGCCCGAACTGACTAATGACTTTACCTTCGACAAACTTTTATTCGTTATTTTACTCCATGTAAATCGTTCTTGATATATCTGTCTGTTTTTGTTCGGATTCCTTTGACCAATCTTGTTAAGTCTGTCCAGATATTTAACACATTTTCTCTCATTACAGCCTCATCCGGAACCTCTCCTTTCGGTACAACTCGATCCTTCCATTCTCCCTGCCAAAACCAAGGACCATTTTAAATTCCCTGGCAGTCCAGAATTAAACCTCGCCAATTCCCAACTCCCTCAACCTCTTACAGGCGCTGTGCCTCCTCTTCCTTTCCCTCCACCGCAGCATTTACCCTCAGCAGTGCCTCCTTCTGTGTCCGTCGGCGTACAGAACCCCATTCAGACTCAACCTGGAATATTCGGTCCACTGAAACCATCATCTGAGCTAAACCATGTCCTTCCCCAGCTTCAAGGTCCATCCTCACCATACGGACCCCCTCCTCCTCCTCCACCCCCTCATCCTTCACCATCCTACGGACCTCCGAAGGTCTCCTTTGGACCCCCGAAGGCTTCCTATGGACCCCCGATGGTATCCTATGGACCCCCGATGGCATCCTACGGACCTCCAGATGCAGCGCCCCATGCTCCGTCCATGTCCTATGGTCCCCCAAGCTTACCGAAGCCAGCGATTCACGCCCCGTCCATGTCCTACGGTGGCCCGAGACCTCAACCTGGACCTGGCAAAAACGGTCCCTTCCACCCCTCCTTCGAGTACTGCGAAGGGGATTTCGCTCCCCTGCCTCCTGCGCCAAGCTACGGCCCGCCGCCTCCCCAATACTCAGGCGGGTATAGAGGAAACATCAGGAAGAGATCACAGAACCCCATTAAGCAGTTTTTCAAAAAGATTGGCCTTCAACTCTGATCACAACCAGCTGTATATGTAAATTATTGTATTTTATTGTT